GAGGAAGAGCGCAACATGCGAGCATAAGAGATATTAGCATAAGGCGGGAGCCGGCGAACCTGGCGCCTCGCCTCAGGAAAAGATAAACGCCCTCGGTGCTTCAGGTTGAGGACGGCTGCCTCAAGCTTGTAATGGACACACGCACGGGAGAAGGTAGGATGGGCCTCACCGCAGTTGAGGCAACGAGCCTGGGGAGAAGTGCACTCCGACTTAGAGTGACCTACGCCACCACACAAAGGACAGAGAGAGACAGTCCCGGAGCAGCGGAGAGCACCATGCCCAAACCTCCAGCACTTGTTGCAGAGCCGAGGAGAAGGAATGTACTCCTGGACAGAGCACCTGGCACCAGCAAGAATGACAGAGGGTGGAAGGGTCCTACCATCAAAGGTAATCTTCACAACCCGGAGGGGTTGACGGCGACTACCACGAGGGGGACGAGTAAACGTGTCCACCTGGAGAATAGAATGGCCCTGGGCAGCAAGGATATGTCGAATATCGTCGTGGCAGTCGCGCAGGTCCCGAACACCGGTCGCAACATGGGGCGGGAGCAAAATAGTGCCAACACTGGCATTCAACTGAGCGTTCTTCGAGACCCGAACGGGGGTCTCGCCAAGGCAGGATAAGGCAGCCAAGCGGGAAGCAGCATCCTGAGAAGGAGCAGCAACGACACGTGTACCGAGACGAGTGGGGTTGAAAGTAATGGAGGCATCCACGGAATCAATGAGATGTCGATGGAGGGAGAAATCGTCAGGAGGCGCAGAATCAAGAGGGAGGAGATCAAAATATTTGGCCCAAGAAGCGGGACCAAACAAGGCTTGATAGGTAGCAGAACTGGAAGGAATCGAGCGAGGGCGGCCGTGACGAGGACGGCGGTGAGAACCCCCAGAGAGAGAGGGGTTAAAAGGCGCAGTAGTTACAACTAGAGAAGGAGCCGCGCTAGGGGACGAGGTAGTCACCACTGGGGGGCTTGGGGCTCGACCCAACCACAGAGGGAGGGAGGGGAGCCAGGGGAAGGAGTCAGAGAGGCCAAAGGAGGAGCAAGGTCGGGGCCCAATGCAGCGGAGGCTACAGAGCCCGGTCTTCCAATACGGACCGACTCGGGGGCTTGGTCGCCCACCCCACGAGCCTGAGAAGGTAAGCCAGAAGCTGCCGAAACAGGGGTTATCATCTTGACGAAAAGAAGAATTCATTCACGAATGTGCCCCCACACCCACCATGGAGCCACAATTAGAGGCAGGACACCCAACAAGAAGCTCTCGCCGATCTTGTCGGGGCCTCCTAGGGGTGCGTCGTGAGTATACGCCCCACAAACGCCACCTTAAGAAACCGACAGTCCGTCGAGATCGGGTTCAGTGACGAAAGGGGGATTGACAATAAAAGGTTCCCCTCGCTCTCGACGTCGGGTACTACAGTTCTACGGGTGCAAGAGTATGCCTCCTCAAGCACCCGGGCGTCAAAATAGAAGAAGTCCAAGGGAAGAACCAGAACGAGCAAAAGGTCAGCAGGAAACGGCAAGCAGATAGGAGAAGAGGGGGGAGAAAAACGAAACAGAAGGAAAAGGAAAAGATGCCCAGCAGAATTGGAGAGGACGGCAGCAGGAGCACAAGGCTAGAAAAGGACAGAGGACTGTCCCAAGGAGCATCACACTCCGGCAGCCGCCCACGAAGCCCCCACACGGCGACAACGAGCCGAGCGGGGAGGGGGGAATTAGGTTTAAAATTTAGTTTGAAGTGAGGTTTTTGGGTAGTCGGAAATGGATTAATTCATTTCCTGTTATTTCTTATGGGGAAATTAGCTTTGGTTTACAAGTTTTCGGATTATGAGCCGTCTCCAGGAACGGATTAAACTCTTAAACCGAGGTACCACTGTAATATACACGTGGAAGATACTGGAGGGCCAAGTACCAAATCTACACAGTAAAATAACAACGTACTGGAGTGTACTGGAGTGAACGATATGGAAGAAAATGCAATATAGAACCAGTGAAGAACAGGTGCCATAGGCACAATCAAAGAGAACTGTATAAACATCAGAGGTCCGCTGTTGTTCAACACCCTCCCAGCGAGCATAAGAAATATTGCCGGAACAACTGTGGACAACTGTGGACAACAACTAGATAGTTTCCTCCAAGAAGTGCCGGACCAACCGGGCTGTAGTGGATATGTGGGCCTGCGGGCCGCTCCAAGTAACAGCCTGGTGGACCAAACTCTCAAGTCAAGCCTGGCCTCGGGCCAGGCTTGGGGAGTAGAAGAACTCCCAGAACCCATCAACCAGGTATCAACCAGATGGTTCCCATCTACCTGGCTCATCAGATGTGGGGATTTATAAGCCTACTGGGAACCAGCGCTAGAACATGGGCCCCTTCACAGAGGCGCAGACAGTGGCGACATTTCACCACCTCACCAGTTAAGGTAAACAAAGTCAGCGAGTCAGAACAAACCACTGCTAAATTCAAAAGACCTCTGTAACACCGTAAGGTGTTTGGTTTAGTTTTATTTAAAAATACATAGAGATACATGAGTCAGAGACAAGGATCTGAGAGGCGCCAGTTTGTCGGCCTGAAATTCACACCTCTAAACGTTAATGACCCCAAGTGACCTGAGGTCAGATCATGCAAATTTCACCTTGCTTCTGCTAATCTGATAATTGGCCTTCAAACATGCCGACGTTTAAGGAGTGGTTTCGTAGAGAGCCTCGGGCTATCTACTAGTGGGCGGAGTTAGCTACTAGGTTCCCCAATATATACTCGGAGAGCAGAGCATAGAAGAGATGAGATGAGAATAGGAGACCAGCCAGCAGAGCAGAGACTCCCCCCCCCCCCTCTATCCAGCTATAGGCACTTGGTGAGTTGAACATTAAGGTGACTTGGTCGTGTTTACAAGGGTTGTGTGAGGATCAGGGGCAGTCACGTAGGGTTCTCGAATTCTTGGATGATGACTCACTTTGCATATTAATCTTGAACATTTGAATTGCTTAAATTATGATACTTATGTGAAATATAATTGATGAATTTATTATTTAAATTGTCTTTAACTTTGTTCCCTAGAGTTTTTGAATTGAGGTGAGAAAGCCTCTGCGGTTACTGGGTTCATGATTTTAATGAGTACATGATACAGATGGAACAGACTAATAATGACCTCGTGTTAACATCTTTGAGAATTTTGTGATACAGACAAGTTCCATTCCTTGTCTTGTATGTAATGGTCTTGAATGGATGGTGGCAGCATTTCTTCTTCTACTATCTACTTTTCTACTTCTACCTATCTACTCCTCTCCCTCCACCCCTCTCCAACCTCTCACTTTCAGTTGACGACCCTCCTCGCTCCTCCCACCTCTCTACCTCTCTCACCCCAAACCCTCACTAATTACTTCATTATTCATCTCTTTCCTTTCGTTTCTCTTATACATTTGTGGCAGTGAAATGTGTTCTAGAGTTCTCTCTAGAGATTCGGGTAGCTGATCAAGTTACGGCGCCTTGTAGTTCCCGCACCTAGGTAGTCGAATACCTAGGTTACAAGGTGTTGAACGAGAGAGGCTGCCGTAGGAATTCTGGGGGGTGCTCTAGAATAGTTAGCTAACTGAGGACAGGATAACGGACTAGAGAGCCGTTTCCCCCAGCCTCGTTAGTTAACTGGGGGGTGGAATAATGTACAAGAGAGAGCCATTTCCATCACCCCCCGTTACACCTCAAAGACTTGAAACCCGCCTAATGAACTCTGAGTCCCAATTATGTAAACAATCAATCTGATACTCTTGAAACTAGCACAAGCTTGTTTGCGCCACCTTCCCCATTCATTTAAGGGGAAAAGGGAAAGCAGCTCACCGCTTGCCGGGGTCTGAGCTGTCAGTTCTGGATCAGATGTAAACACCTACCAGACAACCAGAAAGAAGAGGAGGGGGGGGGGGAAAGAATGATCAGGGAACCTCTTATGGCTCCCTGAAGCTAACTACACACAGAGGAGGAAAACACATGAGATTTACCAGGGAGGAGGGAGCACCAAAGATGAAAAGGAAACCCCCCGGACAAGGCCACACAAGAGCGTCAATGCCTGGGAACATTCATCAAACACCGGGCTGCCAGAACCATGTTAGGCCTCCAAAACTCCCATGCCTGAATATCAGCCCAGGATATATTTGCAAACAGCTGAAAAAGTGGCACACATCATGGGCACAGTAGACCACAGGCTGGGTAGACATAACACTGCAGATGACCAGAGATATATATACCTTGGAACAGGGAACAAAGGAAACAGGATCAATCCACAAAGCATCCACTGAAGTCAAATCAGCGGCACAAATGTAGCGAAGGAGAGCCACTATGGAACACAGTGTATGATGCACCCCCCGGCTGAACCGACCATCAATACCCAAAGGACCCCTCCAAAAGCCAACGTGTTCTTCACCAGAAAAGGAGGAGCCAGCTGCAAATGAAAAAATGCCCACCAGGGTGAAAAGAAACCGCGCCTCTAGAGAGCATGAAGCTCCCTTACCTGACAAACTGAGGCAAGGGAAACCAAAATTATGGACCAGAGGGATTTGGTCCATGATTTGGATTTCATCTGATCCCCAAATGCCCTACTCATTGCAGAGCCAGATTTTGGTCCAGGTTCTCAGTAGGTCAACACGAGTCTCAGATGCCTAGTGCACTTCAAGTTTGGCTTCAACAAAGAACAAGCTGCAGGAAGCCAATGACGAGGCCTCCCAGAAATATTCATTGCATTTTTATTGAACTTTAAAAATGAATAGTGAGACTTCTCCCTCCCCTCTTTAACATACCTTATCTTTCTTAATTCTTTTTATCTACCCCTAGCATAATCTATATATAATTTTTTAACTTTATTGCATTATCATTGTTATTCATAAAATTCCCAAATTTTTTTACAAATATAGAAGTACACGTAAAACGCTCTTAGAAATATCCCCAACTCTAATAAACTCTCCCGTAAGTGCTGTGTCTCAGCAAATAGTACATAATGAACAATGTGAAAAAGGGTACTCACGTTCACCAGAAACATGAAGGCTGGAGAATATCTTCACATCCCCGCTATTCTCTTTTACACCATCCACCAGCCTCACGTACCTTTGCCGCTCTTCCAAATCCTTCGATCTATTAAATAAGACATTATATCAACATAGGATAGCTTGATATAAATTTACATGATTTATATCAAAAGGTTGAAATAAAGATTTAAATAAAAAAAATTCTTTTAAAACTCAAATTGTATAAAGGTGGTTATCAAAAGCTTGCATGCTGTTTATTTTGCATAAAATACATCATGGAGGTACATTATATAGCAATTTCTGGTGAATCAACCTCATTTTCTGGTCCTGCATCTCTCTCTCTATCAAATTTGTTGTGCTTTCATCATATATCTCTCAAAGCCTGGCATACATCTTATTTACTTCCTTACCTAGCAACAAGTCTTTCCAATCAACTTCATTAAAGAATTTACTAACTTCGCCAGTATCCTCTCATGAAATCAAGTTTATCAACTGTTTCAAATTCCTCATTCACCTCTAGATTGCAATGTACAGTATTGCATATTTTAATTCCAAGAAGACATGATCGCTCTTACCCAAGGAATTAAGGTGTTGAATATAGAATCTCTCTCCTTTCCTGGTGAATCTTAAACCCAACATTGATAGAACATCTCCTTCCCTCATTTTTGTGGCCTGCTTAATGTACTCGCCTAATTGTACTTGTGGGGATTGAGCTTTGGCTCTTCTGTCCTGCCTCTTAACTGTCAGCCACCTGTGCCCGAATATCATTGTCATCAGAATGGGTAAATTGGAAAACAAGCAGAAAACACGACTCGGAAGACTCCGGGGTATCATTGACCCAACAAGCGGTATGACAAATGCAAAAGTGGTGACTGGCACCCTGAGACAAGGGCACAAGGCATCCTTCAAACTCGCATGAGGAGAGCTGGAACTCGGAAGAGCCCAGACAGAGTTTTCCAGGGCCCGTAGGCTGACTGCTACAGGAAGCCCGGGCAAGGTGTTGCTAACTGGTTAGACCCAAAAGCTAACAAGGGGGTTATGATCAAACTACTGAAACCCCTGCAACATGTACAATCACAGGGACCTAGTGGAGGGTCGCCAAAATAATACAAGTGGTCCTATAGACACACAGAGCAGAGGCAAAGTTCTTTGCCCTGCCAGGCAAAGAACAAAAATAAAAGAAAATCCCACAAAAGTACAACGTCCCCAGAGGAAACAGGAACCGGTCGCTGCATAGGTAAGCTGATTGCACAACACCTTGACGCACCAATCAGCAATAATATCACTCCCTACCCAAGGCCAAACAAGGGGCATGAAACCCCAGCTGGTCCCAAGGGTGGGGTAAATGCCAAGCAGCAAAAACTCCTACGGAAATGGCATACTGAAGTCACAAGGAAAAAGAACCCTAGCACCCAGGGGCAGTACTCACAAGGCACTCAGGAAAGGCCTCCCTAAGTGCATGCAGCCAAAGTACACTTATTACACCTGGCCACCACACTACGAACTGCAGAGGACACCACTAAGGCAAAACACTGCCAGGAAATTGAGGCCAGAGTTGACGACTGCCCTAGTTCGCATCAGCCAATGAACTGGAGTTGCTGAGTAGCCGGTGTGGTGGGTCCGGGACTCCCCCCCCCTCCCCCTCCTAAGGAGGGGAGGTCTGTGCAGACAAGCGACAAAGTGTGACATTTGCTTGTTTCATTAGGATTTGTGGGAGTTCTGCACCTCTGTTCATTTTTGGTTGAAATTTTCTTACCTTGTGGGGTAACCCCCCGGTCAATGGCAGATTAGGAAAAACCCCAACCACAAGGGGGTTTTCTAGATTCCATTGCTCCTTGTTACTCTGAGGGAGAGCCAGGTTCTGGCTCGTGGTCCCCAGTAGGATGAACTCCATTGACTAATGCCCTAGTCTAATATATCGCATATTAGCCCGATAGTTCCAGGGAGCTGAAGGGGCTCCCCACAGAAAAGAGACACACCGCCTTCCGGAGAATAGGTGCATGTAGTTTCAGCAACGCCCCCCAAGATCAACGCCCCAGACAATGGCCCGGCACTCAAAGCCTCCACATTCTCCATAAGCCAGTCCAAGGACACCTTGTGAAGGGAAAAAAATCCAAGTGAAAGAGCACTTGGATCTGTGCTCGATCCAAGCACAGGATCGAGGCCAGATGCCCTCGAGCACGAAGATCCTCCGCAACCAAGGCAGCAGAAAGGGAGAGTACCTGAGAGTGCCACTGAAACAAGCCAACCTCCCAAGGAAGCACAGTGGCGTAAAGGCATGAATTAAGGTGCTCAAAAGCATCCTCCAAATAAACCTGTAACAGAGTAGTAAACTCCTGCCAATCCAGCATGCGGGTATGACAAAAACCATGCCATGCCCCAAGCAAAAAGGAAGGGCAGTCTGCAAGCCAGGAAGACACCAGAAACTCTTAACACACCCAATATAGGGAAGAGGAACCAAAATCAAGAGAGAGACCAGGTCCATCACAGAGGCCGGGCCTCACAAGAGGTACGCACCAAGGGCCTCCCAAATCTCCGCAGGGGAAACCTGAGAGGTGGAAAACCTCCGGAAGGACAAAGCCGCGGAACCCAAAGAAACCCGGAAACGAACCTGGAGAGGTGCCAAACCTATATCAAACTCATACATGGAAGGAGACTACGAAAACCCCGAACCCTGCAAGAGCAAACCCCGCCCTGAGGGCACCAAGGCCCAGGCAGGATCAAATGGGACCCAAGCACCCCAGGCTGATTTCCCCACAGCCCCTGAAGCCAGGCTCCGGGGCAGAGCCGTTTTCCCACGCCCTCCATCCTTGAAGAAAAGCCAGAGTTCAAGGAAAGGCAGCAAAGAAGGGGGTCTGCTGGTAAGACCCAGAAGCCTCGGTGTGAGGATCAGGATCAAAGGCCTCTATCTCCACATCAAAAGGGGGCAGCCCCTGGGGCCACCCGAGTCTCATCCCCAACAAAACCCCGCTCCAATTCCGAAACCCTGAAACACTTGGGAACCGGCAGCAGGGAGTAAAGAGTAGGGCGAATCATGCCAACCGGGAAAGGACTCGAGGGCGTGGACTGAACCGAGGCCGAAACAATCAACGTCCCCAAGTCCGGGTCCCTAAAACATTTGTGCAGGCGACCAACCTGGCACGTTGCACCAACAAAAACTTAGCTTGCAACGCGACAGCCGCTTGACCCCTAATATCTCCCGAGGAAGAATGGGTAAATTGGATGAAGAGCGGGGAACAAATCTCATACGACTCCGGGTCAAAGGGGTAGTCGACTCAACAAGCAGCATGACAGAGGCAAAACAGATGATTACCACCCTGAGACAAAGGCAACGAACAACCTTTAAATTTGCACAAGGCGAGATGGAACAAAGACATATCAATAGTCACCCGAGCCCCGACGGGTTTCCAGGGCCCCGCAGGGGAAGGTGTAACCCTACGGGAAGCCCAGGCAGTGGTGCTGCAAAACCGGTTGAACCGCGTCTATTTACTGGGCAACCCTATTCACAGGGTTGCTCCCTGTGAAGGGAGTAACATCAGGGGCCGAGTGCAGGACTACCAAACGGAACCTAGGTGTATATAATGGGAAGCCAGGCAGCCCTCCACCAGGCAGAAAAAAGAACTTTAAAAGAAACCCAGAAAGTGCATCACAACAACAGAAGGCCAGAGAGAAACAGTCCCCAATAGTATGCGAGCTGTGCAACACCGTGCGCCCCAACCAGCAACAAATACTCCCTACCCAGTGCACAATGAAAGCACCAAGACCACCGCTGTCCCCAAGAGTGAGGCCGATGCCAAGCGACAGCAACCCCTACAGAAGTGTGAACCCGAAAGCCCTAGGGGCATGCAGCCCGAAATACTGCTTACTCATGGCCAAATCCCCAACACACAGCAGGTACAACCACCAAGCTTAAATCCTGACAGGAAATCGAGGCCAGAGGAGACATCAGCTCCAGCTGGCTTCAGTCAACAAACTGATATGCGCGTGGCTGGCCAAGGTGGACGGGGCCTTCCCCTTCCCCTCTGGGGGAAGGGGGCCCAGTGCAAACGTGCTGCACTTCGGTTTGATGATGATTTTCTTGTTACCTTGTTTTTCTTGGGGGGGGGGGTTGCTCTGTTCGATCTTGGGTTGCAATTTTCTACCAGTTGGAGTCTGTTTTGGGGTGCGTACCTTTCTGGGATACCTAACCCCAGTCGATGGCAGACATGAATATACTCTCAAAGAGTGGAGTTTTCATAGGCCACTGCTCCCTGCGCCTCTCCCAGGGAACCAGGTTCTTACTCATTGTTCCCGGTAGGCATAAGAACGTCATGTGACTGAAGCCCCAGACTAATATAGCTAATATCAGTCAGATAGCTCCAAGGAGCTACAGGGCTCCCCACAGAAAATAACAATCTGCTGGAAATTACTTCATGATAACACATTTCACCTTGGTCCATGCCAACATTTATATATTTCTGACAATTTTGAGGGGAAGATCTGACTGGTGGATTTGGTCTATATCTGTACGTAGGTCCCAACTACTACAGTATACCCATTAACAGAATTAAAGCTACAATATACTGTACCTGGATAAATATAATTCCTCAGTCTAACTGATGCATATTTCATAACAAAATGCTATAATAATTTAAATAAATACCATGTATCTACAAAAAGAAGAAAAAGAAAGGGGGGGGGGGGGACATACCTAAACAGACTGTCAGACACCAGTAGAGTTTCAATGGCCTGGCTATCGTTGGCTCTCTCAACATGCTTGATGCCATAATAAGCACGGTCAGGGTCAGTTCCTAACATGGTCATGAACTGCTGAAGAGCCTTAGTTTCTCCAGCAGCCTTAGTGTCTGCCAGCCTTGCAGTTACTGCTGGGTCTTCAAGCACCTCTGCAAAGCAATGAAGTATAAATTTTCTAACTCATTTTTAATCAACTAAATTGGCAAAACATATGCACCAATTTAAAATGACAGTGCAGCAATAAAACAATGGCCTGTGTTACAGCAAAGTTATCATCAGAGAGTACAATAAATAAAAATGTTTAACCATATAATGATATGAAACTTTAAGCCCAGTGTTGGGTGCCGACAGCAGTGGACAGCGCTTCAGATTCGTAGTCCCGAGGTCCGAGTTCGATCCCCAGTGGAGGCTGAGACAAATAGGCAAAATGTTTCTTTCACCCTGATGCCCCTGTTACCTAGCAGTAAATAGGTACCTGGGATTTAGACAGCTGCTATGGGCTACTTCCTGGGGGGTGTGTAACAAAAAGGAGGCCTGGTCGAGGACCGGGCCACAGGTACGCTAAGCCCTAAAATCATCTCAAGATTGAATGTAATGAAACACCTCTTTTTTGTAGAGGCCCTGGTAGCCTCTGCGTTCTCACCAAGATGACTCCCCACTACTGGATTTTTCAGTTGCAGGAGTCATGTTTGGCCTGACCAGAACCAGAATATGGCCCCTTCACAGGTGTAAGGAGAAGGGCATTCTTATGATCACCCCTCACTGTGAAAACATCCATAAAGTCTGAAACAACACAGATAACTGCAAGGTTCACAGAAAATGAATCAGCAAAACAGCCAAACAATTCATTCAAAACAATTGCTTTACTCAAAACTAACTGGAACCTGTTAGTACCAATGGCTGCCACAAGACAGCCCAACCATCAGCTCACTCCTTGTCAGTGTGGAGCACAACAAACCAAAGAACCTGGTAGGGATGGAGCGAGTCAAGAAGTCACTGGGGGGGGACTACCAGAAAGTTGCATTTCATTACATTCAACATGGTAGAAAATAATAATAATAAAAAAAAATTACATTCAACATTGGGAAAGCTCCATGATGGCTTCCTGAGACAACTGTACGTAAGACACATAAGAGACATGCCAGGAAAAAGGGGAGATGATACGTACTAGGCTGAAGAGGAGACAGTGGTCCAAGAAACCAGACCCTGTGCAACACAAGATCAACTAGGGCCAGGAACATTGACTATTCATACATTATTGACTTGGTCATTTGGTCAACCAGACTGCTAGCAGCCTAAATCACAGCCTGGCTGATCAGGTCATTGCACAACACAAGTGGCATGAAATAGACTATGCCATCAATTATTAACCTTTTTACAATTACAGACCCCCCAATTACTCAATATATCCACCATATCCCTAAAGCCAGACTGAAGAAGTCACGACCATCACCAGTATGACTGAAAAAGATGCCAATAGCTCATTTTTACTTTACATATGGATAGCTAGGAACAAAACCACCTCTCTATAAATAAATAAATGAATAAATAATAGTAAATAAAAATATATTATATATATATATATATATATATATATATATATATATATATATATATATATATATATATATATATATATATATATATATATATATATATATATATATATATATATATATTATTAAATATGACCGAAAAAGTAAGATTAATAATTCTAACACGAATTATCTCAATCTTTCGTACATTATGCTTCACTGTTGGAGGTAAATCAAAAATCACTTCTCCAAAATTCATTTTTATTTCTAGTCTGACGCGACACGGGCGCGTTTCGTAAAACTTATTACATTTTCAAAGACTTCACAAATACACAACTGATTAGAACTTGCGTTTCCCTGATTTTATATCTACATTTGAGTGAGGTGGGAAGGGTGATGTGGCATTACATTTGAGTGAGGTGGGAAGGATGATGTGGCATTAACACAAGACAGAACACTAGAGGATATTAATAGGGTATTAAAAGTATCAACACAAGACAGAACAGAAACAATGGGTATTGAATAGAAGTGTTTGTAGAAAGCCTATTGGTCCATATTTCTTGATGATTCTATATTGGAGCGGAGTCTTGAGGTGGGTAGAATATAGTTGTGTATTTGTATAGTCCACAACTATATTCTACCCACCTCAAGACTCCGCTCCAATATAGAAGCATCAAGAAATATGGACCAATAGGCTTTCTACAAACACTTCTATTCAATACCCATTGTTTCTGTTCTGTCTTGTGTTGATACTTTTAATACCCTATTAATATCCTCTAGTGTTCTGTCTTGTGTTAATGCCACATCATCCTTCCCACCTCACTCAAATGTAATGCCACATCACCCTTCCCACCTCACTCAAATGTAGATATAAAATCAGGGAAACGCAAGTTCTAATCAGTTGTGTATTTGTGAAGTCTTTGAAAATGTAATAAGTTTTACGAAACGCGCCCGTGTCGCGTCAGACTAGAAATAAAAATGAATTTTGGAGAAGTGATTTTTGATTTACCTCCAACAGTGAAGCATAATGTACGAAAGATTGAGAAAATTCGTGTTAGAATTATTAATCTTACTTTTTCGGTCATATTTAATAATATATGTCTACAGGAAAGACTGCTACCAAAATATACTAATATATATATATATATATATATATATATATATATATATATATATATATATATATATATATATATATATATATATATATATATATATATATATATATATATATATATAATATATAATATATATTTTTTTATAATATATTTTTTATATATTACGGACAAATACCATATGGGTTCGTTCAGTGTTTGTCGGGTAGGCTGCTCCATTATGACAATCTGTGTTTCAAATGTGTTCCATTTGTTTTGTATTTTTCATTTATTTCTCAATACTGAAGCAGCTTACCCGACAAATACTGAACGAGCCTATATGGCATTTGTCCATTTTTCAAATTGTTTCAACCGTTTCTTTATTTTTTTATTTTTTTAATTTAAGAAACATGGAGCAGCCTACCTGCCGAACACCGAACAAACCTTTTTGACATTTGTTGTTTTTCGAAATTCTTCATTTTTTTTTTTTTAAACTTTGATGCTCTGGACACACGTGCAACGCACTAGCCTGGGTGGGTTTGGGCATTCCGCGGGAGTGCGCGGTAATTCTGAAAAATGTATACTCTTTCCAACTATGTTACCTCAATTCTCGTCCTAGGTTTTTCAATTTGGTATCAATGTGTTCGCAATAGAATTCTCTACAGGACTAAATGAATATAAAGCCCAAAGACCCGGCAAGAAAGTGAGAGCGTCTTACCCAGGAGCGGGCAAGAGCTCTCTCTTCACTTCACTCTCTTCACTTTGGACATCTCAATTCCTGTCCTAGGTCTTTCATTTTGGTATCATTGTGTTCCTAATAGAATTCCCTACAGGAGTATATGTAAATATAAAGTCCAAAAGCCCGGCATACCACCCACAGCAAACAGAGAAAGTGACAGAACATTACCCCCGTGAGAGCTAATAAAGAGCAATAAAATGAGTATGATCATTTCAACTTTGTTACCTCAATTCTGGTCCTAGGTCTTTCATTTTGTTATCAATGTACTGTATTCGCAATGAAGTTTCCTACAAGGAGTACAGTATATGCATATAATGTCCAAAACCACGGCACGCCACTCCCGAAGCCGCTGCCAATTTGCCACCCGCCATGAAAAATACAAACACCGGGAGGCGCGCTGCGCACCCGAAGCCTGGGCCTGCAGGCGCGTTGCGCAGTTAAAGGGTTAAGTACTTATGTTAAAATTAACGTCAATTGAGAATAAAGAGTAAGTGATATGTTATCAAAGAAGCATTTAACTTCAGTAAGAATAGGAATATATGTAAGTAGTATCTCGTTACTTGGAAAATAAGTACCTCCCAGCTTGCTTGTTAATTCATGCAAATTAGTGAAATGCAAGTGCTATTGAATATTGTAATTAGCCTGGCTTGAGTATCTAGATAATTCCCAATTGTTTTGGAATAATAAGTCACCTTCAGTGATGAGTACAGGATTTTAGTTAGTAATCTTCTTCAAAGATTAATTTGGCAACTTAGCCTAGGTCAGTCTCTCAGCTTGAGAGAGCAAGCTAAGGTCAGTATGGGTTGAGACATCCTGGGGGGTCAACATCTACCTCTCCAGAGGCATGGCTGAACAACTGGCCTAGCTGGGGTATTAAAGGTAATTGTTCTGTCTGATTTAAGTACAGTTGTAGGATCCACATTATTTTTGCATTAATTGCCTCAGTTAGAAAAAATATTCAGTTAGGGCATATTAATTCTTATTTTCATTGATAATCTTTGTTTAATAAATCTTATATAGAATTTTTGGTGTTTAGTAGAATTTCCCCCAACGGTTCTTTTACGTTGTTGGGCTCAAGCCCATGCGTGAGACTAAGCTCCCTCTGCAAGCCTGCAAGCAGTTATTTAATACCTCAAATCATCCCTTTGTACTTTGATTTAATTCCACACTTAGCGTAAATCTTATCCCTCCTTTTCTGATAACTGGGGATCCATTTTTGGGGTTTATGCCTAATTGACAGTATGCTGCTTTACCATCAATTGGGGGGAATAACCCAGTGGGTAGTAATAGCAGGTGGTGGCGGCGTCTCAAGAGGTTTGCAGTGTAGCATAGAAGGGTACAGTGTCCTCGGGTCGTGATATCTAAACGATCGAACGTTTTAGATCTCGAGGAGTGGTACTGAAGGTTACACAGCAGAACTCTGGTCTGTAGATTTACTTAACAACCAGCATTTAACCAGCAAGTGAGGTTAAAGGCTGGCCCCCCGTTACAACGTGTGCAAGCACAGGGACCTAGTGGAGGGCCACCAAAATCATACAAGTGGTCCTACCGCCACACCAGGCAAAACAAAAAAACAAAAGAAAAACCCCCGCAAAAGCACAACGTCTCCAGGTGAACAGAACCGGTCGCTATGTGTATATCAGACAGCAGCACAGTACCTCAGGCCCTAGTCAGCGATGAAACTACCTCCTACCCCAAAGGAAAACAGTTGTAAGAACCACCCCAGCTGAACCCCAAGGGCGGGCAATCACCGAGCAGCAACAGAACCACGCGGAGGTAGTTCCCAAACGGCTCAGGGAAGATAACCCTGAAGCTGCAAGGGCAGTACTTACAGGGCATCTAGGGAAGGCAGCCCTAGGTGCATGCAGCCCCAGTACTCTTGTGTTACTCCTGGCTAGCATGATACCAAAACTGAACAACATCGTTGCACTGCTCAAAGGATGGAGTCAGAGTCGATCAACCATTCGCCCTCACAACAGCCTTTGAACTGAGGAGAGTTGCCGGCGTGGAGGTCTGGGACCCTTCGTCCCCCCTCCCAGGAGGGGAGGGGGGGGTTGCGCAGACGGATGCGTGGCGTTTGTGGTGACATCATACTTGTTTCCTTGGTTTTGATCGGGGAGTTCTGTTGCTAGTTCGGCTTTCGGTTTACAAATCTTTGATCAGCAGTAGTTTTGGAATTCCTACCTTTCTGGGTGCCTGACCTGGTAGATGGCAGAGAAACACTGCTTCCAATTACACGGGGGTGTCTTTAGGCCATTGCTCCTCGTGTCTCTCTTGAGGGGGCCAGGTTCTGGCTCTGGTCCCCGGTAGGCTTAGAACTCCTTCGATTGACTGTTGTCACGGTATAATATACACACATCAGCCCGGTATAGCTCCGGGGATCCGAAGGGGCTCCCCACAGAAAAAAATCTAATAACATTAAATCAAATTTACTTAAAAAATGATCTTACCCCTGAGAGAGTGCCTGAAGCCACTAGATGAATGCACAAGGACAAATTTACCCTTGTTTTCCAACAAGAGTTTGTTATCTGTCTGCACAGCATTCTGAAATGTATAGAATCACAAATATAAATATGGAAGTTATATTATATCAAGAAAAACTGTTGGATCAAGATATGGAAACACAAGGCACAATAACACCACTTAGATAATACAGTATGAGAGTAAATAAATAGGACCTCTAGGAGTCTAGTAAACAATAATGACAAGCCATTCTTTCTTATGTCAACATTGTCACGTCTGTATTTTGTTACCCTTCTCGCGTGTAAACTTGCACTACCTATAAATAGTTACATAGTCTACTTAATGGTAAAAAGGTGACAAATATCTTAACATATGGTGAGAGGGGTGATGCCAAGGAAAATAAGACTCGCGTCCCCAACACCCCCAACCCCCTAAAAAAAAAAAGAGACTATTACCTACTTACACACCCTGTATCCTCCACATTATTCTTTGTATCCTCCACTTCTCTATTCCTTGAATCCTCCACTTCTTTATTCCTTGAATCCTCCACTTCTTTATTCCTTGAATCCTCCACCTATTATGCCCTGTATCCTTCACCTATTATGCCCTGTATCCTCCGCCTATTATGCCCTGTATCCTCCACCTATTATGCCCTGTATCCTCCACCTATTATGCCCTGCATCCTCCACCTATTATGCCCTGTATCCTCCACCTATTATGCCCTGTATCCTCCACCTATTATGCCCTGCATCCTCCGCCTATTATGCCCTGCATCCTCCACCTATTATGCCCTGCATCCTCCGCCTATTATGCCCTGCATCCTCCGCCTATTATGCCCTGCATCCTCCGCCTATTATGCCCTGCATCCTCCGCCTATTATGCCCTGCATCCTCCGCCTATTATGCCCTGTATCCTCCGCCTATTATGCCCTGTATCCTCCGCCTATTATGCCCTGTATCCTCCGCCTATTATGCCCTGCATCCTCCGCCTATTATGCCCTGTATCCTCCGCCTATTATGCCCTGCATCCTCCACCTATTATGCCCTGTATCCTCCGCCTATTATGCCCTGTATCCTCCGCCTATTATGCCCTGTATCCTCCGCCTATTATGCCCTGTATCCTCCGCCTATTATGCCTTGTATCCTCTGCCTATTATGCCCTGTATCCTCCGCCTATTATGCCTTGTATCCTCTGCCTATTATGCCTTGTATTCTCCACCCATTATGCCGTTTGTGCCCTGTATCCTCCACCTATTATGCCCAGTATCCTCCACCCATTCCATATTCCCCACCCATTCTCTGTATCCCCCCCCCCACACATCCTCAGTATCCTTCCCCCATTCCCTTTCTGCATCCCCCACTCCCATCCATGCACACTTGACCAAACTTGCACAGGAACACCCCACTGTTCCATACAACCACTTGTAACAACAAGCATTACCCCTCTCACTAAGCCCTCTAATTGCCTCTCTTCCTATCTTATTATTATTAACAAAAGAATTTCAGTGCACCAGCCACTTACCTTCAGACATACACAACATCTGCAAAACAATATTTTATAAATTACAACCCGCAGGTATTTTAACCGATCAACCACTTGTAGGATTTTATTTGGCCATATATCACTAGCCGAGTTTCCTTCCCTCTCCATCACTATTACAGTACTTTACTCCTGTCCACATTCACTTGCAACCACCATCTTTCATATCTCAACAAAATTTTCAAATAATCTAAATATATACAGTATCTATCACAATCTGCTAGAAGAATGACTTACCTGCACGCAGCAGATTTAATAAACATCATTTAATGTACCCCTATCGTGCATTAATTTCATGTACCTCACAGAGCACAGATATCAACAGCAAAGATTATACATGTTGCTTTTATGATTAATTATGCAGGGAAAACTATTTCCATTATATTATATTTCCATTTCTATTTTAACTGCCCTTAACCCTCAAACCGCGCATATCATATATAAATGATATCAGTGACAAAACCGAAACCACGCTCATCATTTATATATGATTTCGTGTCTAGCACTATAATTTAAACGCCCCGCCTGGGATAGGGGCAGCTATAGTACAACCATGACTGATAGTTGCCAGATGCCACCTAGAAAAAAAATCCAGGCCAACATTCTTGGGTGTTACAGCGTCAGTATTGAGCAAGCCACCAAGGCTGGCGCACGCAGCACGAGCTCACAGCACCGCTGTTCAGCTTGTGACCACAGCATCGCCTACAAATGCCATAATATATATGATACTGCTATTATTTAGCAGTGATAGTATTACTGAAGCCCCCTGACTGTGATAAAACTGACCAGGATTCTGATAATAGCAGGATTGTGGTGATATTTAGCGCTGTGCTCCATGGAGGGAGGAGTAAGGCTGTGGAGGGAGGGTGGTGGCGTCGTCTTCTGACTGTGTGTGGCCACAATTTATTGACTGCACTCACCATACCAGCTTAGTGGTTCGCTATGGTGAACACAAATGTAGATACTTATATATAACGTGTATAGTGAGATAACAGCGAGAGGAGTAGGTTGGGAACCGCCATTTTGGTGAGGGAGGAGCGTCGTCTGCACGACTTGGCATGTTGTTTACTGATGGCCACTATGGTCTTTGGGCACCATACCAGCTTATTTGTACAGGTATGGTGAATAAAACAGGTAGATACTTATATATAATGTGTGTATATAGCGTAATAACACCACAAACAATACTGTTGGAGGAGAAATATTAATTCGTCTGGCCTTGAGGGTGGCCGCCGATCAGCCGACTGTGTGAGTAGCTACGTCTTTGTGCCTTTACTCACCATACAAGCTTAGATGTACAGTTATGGTGAACAAAACATGTAAATACGTATATATAACGTCTGTGTATAGTGAATAAATGCAAAAACAGTATTGTGGGAAGAGAATGAGGGTGAGTGAGGTGGTGTTGAGGGAGGGAGTGGCAGTGAGTGGCTCGCTGGTGTTTGGCGGTCATTCCTCGTTGCTTTTTGACTCACAAGGCCAACTTAGTAGTTTGTTATGGTGAACAAAACATGCAGATACTTATATATAACCTGTGTATATAGTGTAACAACAGCAAAACTATTTGTTTATTGTTTTATGAACATAATAATTGAATCACTAATATGCACACCATAATTTTGAGTACAGCGATGGTTCACACATTTTATAATATAAATATACCACAATTCACTGTATGGAATAATATTACTGCAAGAAAACTAAGAAATAATCAATCAGAGACATTGAAATAATTAGGTAATAATATATTTGTGGCAACTGCCGTCTGACAGCTCGGGTGGAGTAGACCTCGTCTGGCGAAGGCTCTGCCAACGCCCCTTTTTTGCCACACTTCCCTACCCTATTGCGGCTAAAATATGCCACCTACGATTTTTTTGTTATTTTTTCCGTGATCAGGGAACAAAAATGAACATTTCTATAAGACAAAAGAATTTTTTGGATTTTTTTTTTTTTTTTTTTTTTTTTTTTTGCGCCTGTGGGTGTGAATTCCATTTGGGCCCCTAGTGGTTTAAGGGTTAAAGTGCAGTTATTGCCATACAATGATCTCCTAAATATCGAGGATATCATCACATGTTGATTTTAGCGATCACCTGGATTTTTTTATATAAATGATGTAAATGTTATGCTACATCTAGATGGATGTAATCCTGCTAACCTAAACTCATGAAAAAATTATTTGTTTTTTATTGTTAACTATGCGCAAAGGTTAGTGTGCCATTACCCTACAATTATCATCAAATAACAATTTGGCCATCCCCACCAGTGTCTGAATCTATTTCTGGATGACATTACCAGACAGAACAGTGTTACCAAAATCATCCTTTGAGCTCTGCCACATACAAATTTACATGAAATACAGTGGTACCTCGGGTTACGAACGTCCCTGTTTATGAACTTTTCGGGTTACGAGCCCAAATTGTTCAGAAAATTTTAATCGGGATAAGAGTTTGTTGATACACGTACGGCCAACCTAACGCATGGAGGCATGGCGATCGCGCCTCAGTTTAACAGTGCCTTGCACCCAGTGACTATCCCGCCTGAATTCTTCACAAGAATTTAGTTTTTTGTCGGAATTTTTAGTTTTTTTTTTTGCTATTTGAGCATAAAAGTTGTTATTATATATCTCACCATGGGTCCCAAGAGAGCCAGTGGTAAAGATCAAGGCAAGAAATCACATGTGAGAATAACCATAGAGGAAAAACAAGAGATCATTCGTGAGCATGAAAATGGTACTTGTGTTGTTGAACTATCTAGGCAGTACAACAAATGCATGTCAACGATATGCACTATACTTGCCAAGAAAAAGGACATTATGAGTGCTAAAGTGGCAAAAGGCGTATCAACAATCACGAAACAAAGACCACAAATACTGTACTTGAGGATGTGGAAAAGTTGTTATTAATTTGGATACACAACAAGGAGTTAGCGGGTGATAGTGTTTCAGAGGCCGTCATTTGTGAGAAAGCCAGGGTATTGCACGAAGACCTTGTAAAGAAAACCCCTGGAACGAGTGATGCAGATACAAAAGACTTTAAGGCAAGCAGGGGATGGTTTGACAAATTTAGAAAAAGAAGTGGTATTCATAGTGTTGCGAGGCATGGGGAGGCTGTCAGCTCACACAAACCAGTGGCTGAAAGATTTATTGAAGAATTTAAAGAGTTTGTAGAAGCTGAGGGATACCTACCGCAACAAGTGTTTAATTGTGATGAGACAGGACTGTTCTGGAAAAAGATTACCTAAGAGGACATACATTACCAAGGAGGAGAAGTCATTGCCCGGACACAAGCCTATGAAAGATAGGTTTACGCTTGTGCTGTGTGGAAATGCGAGTGGCGATTTGAAAATTAAACCCTTGCTTGTGTATCATTCTGAAAATCCAAGGGTTTTCAAAAATTATGGTGTGCAGAAAAGCCAAATCTGCAGGAGAAACATTTGCCACTCGAGGCCCTGCTTCCTCTCGACAATGCTCCTGTTCATACCTCAGGCTTAAAAGATGCATTGTTGAACAGATATAATTTTCTCACAATAAAGTTCCTTCCTCCTAACACCACCACTACTCTAATTCAGCCTATGGACCAGAAAATCATTGCTAATTTTAAGAAACTGTATAAAAGAGCACTTTTCCAGAAATGTTTTGAAGTGACTGAAGCCACAAACCTCACCCTCAAAGAGTTCTGGAAACACCATTTTAACATTTGCAGTGCTTTAAAACTCGTAGACAAAGCCTGGCAAGAAGTGACTCAAAGAACCCTGATCTCTGGCTGGAGAAAATTGTGGCCTGAATGTGACAGAACTAGGCTGAGGGGTTTGAGCCTGTAAATGACATGCCTATTGTTGAGGAAATTGTTACTTTGGGCCGGAAAATGGGCGGTGCTGATGTGGAGGGGTTGGTTGATACCTGGTTGATGGGGTTCTGGGAGTTCTTCTACTCCCCAAGCCCGGCCCGAGGCCAGGCTTGACTTGTGAGAGTTTGGTCCACCAGGTTGTTGCTTGGAGCGGCCCGCAGGCCCACATACCCACCACAGCCCGGTTGGTCCGGCACTCCTTGGAGGAATAAATCTAGTTTCCTCTTGAAAATGTCCACGGTTGTTCCGGCAATATTTCTTATGCTTGCTGGGAGGACGTTGAACAACCGCGGACCTCTGATGTTTATACAGTGTTCTCTGATTGTGCCTATGGCACCTCTGCTCTTCACTGGTTCTATTCTACATTTTCTTCCATATTGTTTACTCCAGTACGTTGTTATTTTACTGTGTAGATTTGGTACTTGGCCCTTCAATATCTTCCAGGTGTATATTATTTGATATCTCTCTCGTCTTCTTTCTAGTGAGTACATTTGGAGGGCTTTGAGACGATCCCAATAATTTAGGTGCTTTATTGCATCTATGCGTGCCGTATATGTTCTCTGTATTCCCTCTATTTCAGCAATCTCTCCTGCTCTGAAGGGGGAAGTGAGTACTGAACAGTACTCAAAGCGGGACAACACAAGTGACTTGAGTACAACCATTGTGATGGAATCCCTGGATTTGAAAGTTCTCGTAATCCATCCTATCATTTTTCTGGCTGTCGCAATATTTGCTTGGTTATGCTCCTTAAACGTTAGGTCGTCAGACATTATTATTCCCAAATCCTTTACATGCTGTTTTCCTACTATGGGTACATTTGATTGTGTTTTGTACTCTGTATTATGTTTAAGGTCCTCATTTTTACCGTACCTGAGTACCTGGAATTTATCACTGTTAAACATCATGTTATTTTCTGATGCCCAGTCGAAAACTTTATTAATATCAGCTTGAAGATTTCAATGTCCTCAGCCGAGGTAATTTTCATACTGATTTTTGCGTCATCTGCAAAGGATGATACGAAGCTGTGACTTGTATTTTTGTCTATATCTGATATGAGAATAAGGAAAAGCAGCGGTGCAAGGACTGTACCCTGTCCTTGAAAGGTGGAAGAACACAACGAAGAACTGAACACCGAAGAACTCCAAGCCCTTCAAAAGGAGCAGCAACAAGATGCAGCTGAGGACATTTCTTCAGAGGAGGATGAGGCAGAAGAGAATGTCCCTTCCTCAACAATTAGGAAGTGGTGTCAGATGTGGGAAGAAAGGCAAACTTTTATTGAAAAGATTCGCCCAGAGAAAGCTGTAGTAGGCCGTTGCATTAATCTTTTCAATGACAATGTGATGCCTCACTACAGACAAATGTTGCGGAGGAGGGAAAAACAATCTTCAATGGAACGTTTCCTTGCGAGAAGAGAGAAAATCAAGCAGTGAGCCACAACCAGGACCTAGTGGTATGCAGGCAAAACATGCCAGAGAGTGCACACCAGAGAAATCTTCACTGCCTGATGTTATAATGGAAGGGGACTCCCCTTCCAAACAGTAACTCCTCTCCTCCTCCCCCCCTCCTCACCATCTTCCATACACCAACAGAGTCATCAGCAAAAGTAATAACTTGAACATACTTTTGTAGCGAAGATTTGGGTGAATTAGGTATAAAATTTACTTTGAAGTGAAGTTTTTGGGGAGTCAGGAACGGATTAATTCATTTCCCATTATTTCTTATGGGGAAATTCGCTTCAGTTTACGAAATTTCGGGTTACAAACCGTCTCCAGGAACGGACTAAATTCTTAAACCGAGGTACCCCTGTACAGACATTCTTTTGCAAGACCTAAATTAGAATATGTAATGGCTGTATTGTGCCCATATCTCAGGAAGCCAATCAATAAACTGTAAAAGGTGCAAGCGAATGCTTGGAAATGGCTCCCAGATATGAAAAACAAAAGCTACAAAGAGAGGCTAGAGGCATTAAATATGCCAAAGCTACAAGATAGAAGAAAAAGAGGTTATATGATCATTATATACAAAATATTAACATGAATTGACAAAATTGACAAAGAGGATTTCTTGAAACCTGCAACTTCAAGATCAAGAGGTCATAGATAGGTGCCAAAAAATATTAACACATTCTCTTTTGCAAACAGAGTGGTAGACAGTAGGAACAAGTTAAACGAGAAGATAGTAGATGCCAAAACCATAAGTACAGTAGTTTCAACGCGCCCTATGACAGTACCGGGAAGACAGGGCACTCATCCTGTAACTACACTTAGATAATTACACTTATGTAATGTAATTATACCTTCTAAACTAACTTAACTAACTTCTTAAACTAACTTCTAAACTAAACATCTACCATTCTCCACTAACTTGGTCACCATCTTTCCTGCTCCTCGTACGCAAAAGACCAATTCAATAATTTTAGTATTAACAATGCAAGCATAGATAGTAGATTGGGGTTTTAACTAAAGTGCCAACTGAACCCTTCACTTGACAGTAACCAGAAGACATCCAGACACAAGATATATACTATACAGCTACATTTCACAATACTCACTCTCATCATGTATTCGAAGAACTGATCTTTTACAAAGCCTGGAGATGCAATCAATACTGCTTTAACAACGTCAAAGTTTAGATGACGTATGATAGCAGCCATCACCTGATCGAAGAACTTAGCAACTGCCTGAAAAGTAATTAATTATTATGTTATTAAAATATTGATCACAAAGCTAAACACTGCAAGATTGATACTTGTTAACAGAAAACAACTACAAAAATAAAAACTCATTGAATGTAATGAAATTCCTTTTCCTTGATGAGCCCCAGTGGCTTCTTGAAGCTATCTCACCAAGAGTGTTCCATACAAAGGGGTCACATCAGATGCAGGAGTTCCGTTTGGACTATACAGACAAAACATAACTCCTAGAGACTCCTACAGACCAAAACAGAACAGACCCTACAACCAGAGGTGAGTGCTAACAGGAAAATAGCCTTAAAAATGGAATCCTAGACTGACCGAAGGAGACACTGTAAACAATATAGAGGAATGAATGGCTAGAACATGGTCTAAGGACCAAGCAGACTCAGGTTGGACATCAGCAGGTCAGAAATGAAACATATGAAAGATAGCTTCCGAAACAGCGCCAAGGCAGTAAAGATGCCAAACACGAGCAGCAGTGTCTGCCAGCACTGAATGACGAGGCAACAGTACTTGGCACGAGATGCTGATCAATAAACAATCAAAACAGCAACAAAAGTACCAGAGAGAAATGAAGATGAAGGGAAAGAAAGTGGTGAAGATCAAGTTATTTCATACAGCCACTGGGAAGAAATGCAGGTGGGACACCATGAAATCATTCACCTGCTCACCAAAGAGATGGCAATAAGGACACACAAACCAGATAGGAAGAACCAAGAAGTTCAAACCAGCAAGGTGCATCACTGAGCAGATTTTCCGAGAGAGGTGGAGCAGTACCGCAATACCTGGGGTTCAGACACTGAGCATACAGCGCTTAAAACCAAGGCCGAGCCGGCTCACCAAGGTGCTAAAAGGATCATTCCCTGGTAGGAATCGAGCCTGGCCACAACCCAGAGCAATAATTGGACTGGGGTAAAGAGGTACAGAAGCCCACACCACAACCAGTCCAGTCAAAAGGCATCCACTGCAAGGGCCTTCCAATTAGGGAATGGAGCCACAGAGCAGATGATGCCAATAACAAGCTGATGCAGAGAGATCCATGTCGAGGTGCCCAAGGGTCTCGCAAAGCCACTGGAAGGAGGTAGGGTCAACAGTCCACTGGAAGGAGGTAGGGTCAACAGTCCACTGGAAGGAGGTAGGGTCAACAGTCCACTGGAAGGAGGTAGGGTCAACAGTCCACTCGGCGGAGAAAGAAAGGAAATGCAAAAAACTGTTCTGCACTTCCTGCCCCATTTTCTGGTCATGCAGAAAGTGGGGCAGGGGATGAACTTGTTCAATCTTGAAAAGTTCAAGGGTGAAACAGAGCTCCCTGAATCCCGTTTTGTAACTGAAGATGTGACACACCCAGCGTAACGACACCGGTCATTTTGACCATGCCAGAAGCAACTCTTTACAATGACCCGATAGAGGTGAGGGGAAGAAGCCTACCCCAAAAGCCCTGACACCCAGGAAGGGGAAAAAACTGACCAGATTCCACTGTAGGCCATAAGAAAATATCCAAAAAGCCAACAAATCATGAGGCAAGGAGTCTGGCAAACTGGGCAAGCCCCCCACTCCTTTCTTGGTTCACTCCATCAAAGGGGTGAACCAGGAAAGGGCTGGCACAAGCCATGAACAGTGGTATCCCTCTGCAAAGCCTGAAAGCAGCACTATTGAGCGTAACTGAAACCGACAATGGGAAGTGTACATAACCCCAAATCTGGCTCCAATGAGGAGCCTACCTCAACCAGCAGCAGACAAAGCCCCGAGTACCACACAGCCTCCAAGAGTGAGGACGAGAACCCTGAGAACACAATAGTGTGAAATTGGCGGCAGATTCATACCTGCCTAAGACAAAAACTGAGAATCATCATCCTCTAGAAAGAGGAGAGGTAAAAAAGGAGAGGTGGCCATAAGGGCCAAGGACCAACCCGAATCTAATGACTGGCCCAACACAGCCTGTCGACATGCGAGATAGGCAGAGTAGAACACGGCCCACCATCTCCCAGACCATAGGTGCACACAGCTTGGACAAAGTTGCCAACATCCCCAGAGCAGGCAACAAGGCACCTGCACTTGACCCAGTCATGCATATCAATGTCCTCATGAGGCCAGTCAGTGCTGTATAAAGCTCCACACGGGCTAGAAAATGCATGACCATAGCAAGTGCGAGTGAGCCAAGTCCTCTGCCATGAGGGCTGCAGACAGCAAAGACAACTGGGCACGGTGCTGCACCAACCTCATGCCCTGGGAAAGAGCAGGAGCAAACGGGCAGTTATTGAGCAGCTCAAAAGAAGAGCTGCCCAAAAACACACTTAACACGGTTGAAGCTTCATGCTACTCGAGCTTGTGGGAATGATGAAAGCCGAGCCAGGACTAAGGGTAAAAAGAGATCTGTCTGCTAGCCAGAAAGACTCCAAGATCTTGCAGCCCAGCCAGTACGACAAAGAAGGCCCAAACTCAAGAGAGACAGGGGTCCATTATAGAGGCAAACTCTGGGTCTCGCAGGAGGAACTCGAAAAGATCTGCCCGGGCCACCGAAGGGGAAACCAAAGAAAAAGCAAACTTTCAGAACATATCTGATGGACCAAAAAGGCACATAGAAACGAACCCTGGGGGAGCCCACATTAAGATTGAATTCATACATGGAGGATATGAAAACCCCTCCCCCTGAAACAAAGGGCCTCTATCGTAAGAGACGAAGGACCAGGTGGGGTCAAAGAGAACCAAAGGCCCCATATCCAACAACCAACGGGCCCTAGAAACCAGACACAAAAGAACAAATCCACAAGGGCCGTGATGAGAGTTTGAACCTAAGTCCGGGATAGTTAGATCGTTCGCAGTCTTAGTCGACTGCGCCACGATATGATCGCGTCTGGGACTATCCCGGACATAGATTCGAACCCTCGTTACGGCCCTTTTGAATTTGTTCATTTGATGCATCACGCTATTGTGATTTTTGTGTGTACAGACACAAAAGCGCTGGGTCAGAGCCAGAGGGATAGAAAATCAGGGATAGAAAATCATAGTCCAAACAAGACACTTTGGAAGAAGGGTGTGGCTGGAAGGAAGAAAGCTCTGAGACCTTGGCAGGATTAGGTGGCTCAACTGCCACCATGCCAGAAGTGAAAGGAGCCATCCCCAGTGATGGCCAATCCACTCCAGGGATGGTGGAGCCACACCTGGAGATGGTGTGGGTGTGGCTGGCTCCACACACTCACCACACTGCAGTCATGGATGGAACCAAGGTGAAATTCACCAACACCTCCAATTCTGGGTCCCTTAAAAAAAAAAAAAAAAAGTCCAACTGGGCACACAAATGAGAGCGCTGAAGGTGGGCAAAACAAACCCATAAAGCAGTAGATGCCTGATAATAAGCTTGAACTTTACCAGGAGGGTCAGAGAGAAGAGTCACATGGGGAGAGCAAACCCCACAGGACTCAAGGTTGTAGGTGTCACCACTCCAACAGGCACCATGGCGGAGGCAGAAAGAATGATTGTCGCTCCTTGGCACAGATGACGAACAACGCTCAAAGGCAAGAACAGGTTCAGAGGCCATTCATAAGCCACACCAAAACCCACAGGGGATCCCAAGGCCCAAAGGGCTAACAAAGCAGGACACCCAGGCACTGGGGATGCTTGCTGGATGTTATAAAGTAAACAAACACAGCCTAGTCAATGTGACTAATGTGAGCAGGCATACGAACTACCAGTGCATCCCAACCAGCCAAAATGCTCACTCCTAACCAAGGCCATAGATAGAGGGAAAGAAAGACCCCTGATTTACACAAGGCAAGGCACCCACCCCGGTGGTCCCACCCTGTAAGTGAACTCCTGAACACGCCACAAGAACTCTTCAGTGCAGAGAAAGTACCGGGGACCACTCAGATAAGATTCTTCTTATCTTCAAGCGTCGTGTGAGCCAGGTCCACACAATACAAACCAGACAGAAAATGCACTCGAAAGCAGAACTAAACCATGAAACAATACCATGCAAATGGCTCCCACTGGACAAAGTCCGAGGAAGGCTGCACTTGGCACATAAGCAGTGGAACCCACACGGTTTACTAACAACCCGGGAGCCCAACAGATGACCTTCACACATCCACATCAGTTACAGAACTGGTGTGGAAGGTTGGAGGAAACTGGGAACTCTGGGCCACCCCAACTGGTGAGGGATAGTTCTAATGAGCTCATGCTCATTTCAATAGATTCAATTGCATGTTTATTTTAATAGGGGCAGTTTTTAGGCAGTTTTGAGGCTCTGGTGTCTGAATCCAATAGTGGTTTTTACTGGTTCACTGACTTTCTGAATGCTTTCTCTTTGAGGTGGCAAAGTGCACTCACCTAATTGTGCTTGCAGGGTTGAGCTTTGGCTCTTTGACCCCACCTCTCAACCATCAATTTACTGGTGTACAGGTTCCCGAGGTTCTCGAGCTCCTTCATGTTTACATTTTAAACTGTTTATGGAGTCATCCTTCACCTCCTCCAATTTTGTATGTGATCATATCTCCCCGAGCTCTTCTGTTTTCTAGCGACATGAGGTACAATTCACTCAGCCTTTCCTCGTAAATCATGCCTCTTGTTCTGGGACTAGCCTAGTGACATACCTCTGAACTTTTTCCAGCTTTGCATGATAAGGTACATAAGGCTCCATGCTGGGGCTGCATACTCCAGGATTGGCCTTATATGCGTGGTATACAAGGTTCTGAAAGAATCCTTACACAGGTTTCTGAAAGCAGTTCTGATGTTAGCAGCCTTGCATGCGCCACTGATGTTATTCATTTGATGTAGGCTTCAGGAGACAGATTTGGCGTGACCAACTCCTTGATCTTTCTCTTTGTCCGTTTCATGTAGGACTTCATCTCCCATTCAGTATCCAGTGTCTGACCTCCTATTTCCTCCCCCCAAGCTTCATTACCTTACATATATTCAGATTGAACTTTAGTAGCCATTTGTTGGACCATTCCTTCAGTTTGTCTAGGTCATCCTGTAGCCTCATAGTACATAGTGTCGCCTACTCTCTGTGTCTGTATGAGGGGGGCCCAAGTTGTGACTCTGGTTCCTGGTAAGCCAGACAACTCCATTGCTGATGTGCCCTAGTAATTGGGAGCCATCTTAGCGAGATAGTTTCAGGGAGCCACAAGGGGCTTCCCCGAGAAAACTACAATATCAAAATGAAAACCATATATGAAACAAAGTGTGGCTTCAGTAACTAGTTTTGTACACAATTGTCCAAGGGCACTAGATTCCACTTTTCTTATAAGCTTTACTTTCTACTCAAAAGTCATTGTGTACTTCTTTTGGGTTTGCTGCTTGTTGAAGTCTCGGCCAACACATTTCCTGCACTTTTAGAAGCCATGGTAGAAGAATGTTTTATATTTTTTGCAAATTAAAATAGTGTTTGAGGAAAGAGCTTCAATGGAATCCCACAAAAACAACCGAGTCAATTGATTCAGTCTATTCACGGCACAGGCTAGCCTCAATGGCATCGCACTTGGCCACTCTACAAACTAGGTCTACCTTCTGGGTGTAAATCATGCACATGGGAGGAAAGAAAAATATTCAGACTAATAATGAATAAAACTTTTTAAATAATGAAAACTCAAGAGAGCAGAACAGATTTTGTCTATGGAATGCTGCAATTACCACCACCTTTTATTTAATACAGTATTAACAACCAATCCCTTAGTAAGAATATGCAATTGTGTCAAATAATTTTACCTTCTTTCTTTGAGTGTCATCAGCCTTTCCTTTTTTTGGTATGTTCACATCTATCTTAGCTCGGTCAACAGTCATGGCAGATGTAATAAGGCAGACAAATGCCAGGCCCTCTTGCATCACCACAGCTGCCAGGTCTGCATGCTGAAAGGTAGTATTACAACTCAATTTTAATTAGTAGAAATACTTATACTGTATATAAAATAAATCAACCAAATGAGAGCACTAGTAAGCAAATAATGCAAAAAACTAAGTATATACTGTATGTTCATAAATTGAAGTCATGAACTGTACTGACCTTAGCTGGGTCGCAAGCATTATTCACACGTTCTAAAGTAACAGAATCCCACTGTTCCTTAAAGAGAGTGAACTTTCTATTGGGTTCCAAGTCCACTGTGTGGTATGCACCCATCTTAATGTATTGATTTTCTTCAACATTGCGACCCTTTACTCTGTAATGGATATGGATGCAAAGTCAAATATAGGGGGAGAGCGAGGTAAAACACTAAATTAAGAAAGTTAAGCAGTACTGTAATTCACGGGAAAGTTCCACAAACACAAAAAGAATAGAAAGTTCAAGAGGGCAATCTAGAGGAGTTTCAGCCATGGTCATCCATTCAGAAGATTTCTGGGAAATGAAGCATCAGAGATATAGCCTGCAGATAATACAACTATTTTTTTGGCCATTATCTAATTGTACAATACCAGTACAATCAACTCCTTTGTTGCCTAAAACCTTAAATCTAACAACTGTACTTTTCACGTCGAAGAGTCCCTTCCGCACCAACCTCTCCCAGCCAAATCAAGTGAAATACTTCCATATCATGTATGAAGATTTACATTGAATACTCTGCCCTCAATATCTTTAACCCATATGCTTAACCTCCTGGGAGGTGCTTGCAATTACAACCTGCAACACACCCAGGTGCAAGAAATACAAAAAATATACAAAACTTTGTCTTATAAAAGTGTTCATTTGTGTTTCCTGATCATGGGGAAAATAATAATAATATTGTAAGTGGCTTATTCTGGCCACAATAGGAAGGGGGAAGTCTGGCAAAACTGAGGCGCTGACAGAGTAAACGTCCCAAGGTGGTCTCCTCCACCCGCGCTGTCAGGCGGGAGTTGCCACAAAGATATTACCTAATTATTTTAATGTCTCAATGATTTTTTTTTTTTTTTTTTTTTTTTTTTGCAGTAATATTATTCAAGTGTATAGTGTGATATATTTATATAATAAAATGTGTGAACCATTGCTATACTTAAAAGTATGATGTGCATATTAGTGATTTAATTATGATGTTCATAAAACAATAAACCAATAGTTTTGCTGTTATTACACTCTATACACATGTTTTATATATAAGTATCTGCATGTTTTGATCTCCATGGTGAACCACTAAGTTGGTATGGTGAGTCCAACCATCAAGAGTGGAGCTGTAAGACCCAGCCAGCCCTCCCACAACACCTTAATTGCCAACATTCCTACTCCCACAATACTGTTTGTGGTTTTATTATACTATGTACACATGTTATATATAAATATCTGCATGTTTTGTTCACCATAACTACAACTAAGCTGGTATAGTGTCCAAACAGCATAGTGGCCACCATACACTGCATAATAAGTCGCACAGCAGCCAGCAGATGACAGGCTCACTCCCTCCCTTGCCAACACCTCCCTCACCAAAATGGCTCTCCCAACATGCTCCTTTTGCCATTATTACACTCTATACACACGTTATATATAGGTATCTACATTAGTGTTCACCATAGCGAACCATTAAGCTGGTATAGTGAGTCAAGACAATAACAGGTGGCCACACACGGTCGGCAGTCAACGCCGCTACACACACTCCCTCCTCACCAAGATTACTGCTCCCACATCAGTGGGAGCAGTAATCTTGCTTGCTTGAAAGCTCCCACTGCTGATGTGTGTGCACATCAGACGCACACTGGTAATTCTCACCACAATCCTGCAATTATCAGAATCCTGGTCACTAAATCCTGTAAATGAATAATTTTCCACAAGTTTATTTTGCAAAGAACATGAGAAGTCGATTGAAGATTCTTAGATGGACGAAACAACGGCAGTGTGCTGTAGCTAGCACTGTGAACATCTTTAACAGCATTGTGTTCACCGATATCTGAACACTGATCGATTGTACACAGTCTTTATCACAATCGAGCTCTTCTGTAATACTATCATGGCTAAATAATACCAATTACATACATATTTTGAAAATTTTTAGGTGATGCTGTGGTCACAAGCAGAACAGCAGTGCTGTGAGCTCATGCTGCATGCACCAGCCTTAGCTGCTCACTCAGTACCGAGGCTCTCACACCTAGGAATGTTGTCCACAATTTAACCCTTAACCCTTTCACTGCTCAGGGGTCCTGAGGACATTTACACCCCTGTGCGCAAGAAAAAAAATCTAAAAAATTATTTCGTCTTCTTAAAATGTTAATTTGTGTTCCTTGAGCACGGGGAAAAAAATCGTAGGCGACATATTTTGGGCGCAATTGACCGAGGAAGTCTGGCAAAAAGTGGGCGTTGACAGAACGGTCGTCAGCGCCGGTCAGCGTCACCCACGCCGACAAGTGGGAGTTGCCACAAAGATATTATCACTTAATTATTTGTGTGTGTGATTTTTTCTTAGTTTTTTTGCAGTAATATTATTCAATAGTGTGTATTGTAATATATTTATATAATAAAAGTGGTGAATAATCGCTATACTCAAAAGTATGGTGTGCATATTAGTGATTCAATTATTATGTTCATAAAACAATAAACAAATAGTTTTGCTGCTATTACACTCTATACACAGGTTATATATAAGTATCTGCATGTTTTGTTCACCATAACGAACCACTAAGTTGGTATTAAGAGTCGAAAAGCAACGAGGAGTGACCGCCACACACCAGCCAGCCACTCATTGCCACTCACTCAACAACGCCTCACTCGCCCACTTTTTCCTCCCACCATCCTGTTTTATATTTTATTCACAATATACAGATGTTATATATAAGAATCAACATGTTTTGTTCACCACAACTGTACAACTAAGCTGATATAGTTAGTTCAGGCACTAAGAGTCGTCGTTATACACACAGTCAGCTGGCGGCTGCCTCACTCATTCAAGGTCACACACACTAAACTTTCTCCCCCAACAATACTGTTTGCAGTGTTATTACACTATATACAATGGGGCCTCGACTTACGATGCTAATCCGTTCCCAGAGACGGATCGTAAGTCGAAATATCGTAAGTCGAAGCGATTTTTCCCATAAGAAATAATGGGAATTGAATTAATCCGTTCCCCACCTTCCAAAATATTAACATACAAATACATTTTATACTGAATACAATGCTTTTTTCTAACTACAATACAGTACCAAAGTTTCTCTTATCTTTATGGAGGGCTCTTGATGGTGTATGGAAGATGGTGATGAGGAGGGAGGAGGAGAGGTGTTATTGTTTGGAAGGGGAGTCCCCTTCCATTATCACATCAGGCAGTGATGTTTTCTCTGGAGTACTCTCTCTCCTACGTTTTGCCTGAATACCACTAGGACCTGGTTGTGGTTCAGTGCTTGTTTGTCTCGCTACAAATTTGTCAAGACATTTGTTGACATTTTCCAAACTGGAATGAAGGCAAAGAAAGCGGTAAGTCTGTCACTCCACGACAAAACCGAACCAGTCCCTGAACACCGGATGAATCTGGACATGCCAATACGCATCCCGGAGGTTCGGAGACACCATCCAGGCGCCGAAAGTAGCCGGACCCAAGACAAAGTGGTCATCTGAAAGGAAGGACAAAAAACCCAGGGATCATACAGGACAAGTCCAGTATGAATTGCAGATCTGCCCAGTCCCATTTCCAAACTGAAAACAGGCAGGAAACCCACTCCAGGATTACCTGACAGCACAGGGGGAAGAGGCCTGCCTTGCAACCCCCATATCCCCCCAAAGGAGAAAGAAAGAAGCAATGCCACTGCTGGCTGGAGGAAAAGGCCCCAAATTGCCCACAAATCGTGGGACCAAGCGAGAAACAGCACAAGCCTCCCCTTCCCCTCTCGCCCAGCCAAAAGGCCGAACCGTGAAAGGGCCGACGACCCCACCGAGAGCCCGACCGAAGCTCAGAGCGATCACTGAGCCAACGACTCCGCAGGAGGGCCAGTCCCAAATCTGGCACTACTGGCTTACGACTACCAAAGGAACACCGAGACCTGGCGCAACCCTTCCGGGCAGGACCTCCACGTCCCCCCCCCCCACCCCCCACAACCGAAGAACCTACAAGTCGTTCTTCGCCGAAAATGATATAGGCCGACAACTAGACGAAGCCGTTCGCAGAAAATGCACCACCGCAGACTCTGCAAACAGCAACGGACAAAAAGGGATGAAAATCTAAGAGCCAGGGCCTAAGCACCACCTGTCAGCACGCGAGACGAGAAGCGAAGAACAGACACCGCCCCCCTCAGAAACAGCACATACAACTTCAACAAGGCAGCCGGCGTCCGAGTTGCCGAAGCAAACACACTGGACACTGGCCCGGAACCCACCTCCTCCACGAGCCAGTCCAAAGACAGCTCCAGCATGGAAAAGAAACGCAAGATCAAAGCCAAGTGCCCACGGGCGCACAAATCCTCGGCCACCAGGGATGCCGAAAGGGAGGGAACCTGCACGTGAAGTCGCACCTGGCCGACATCATAAGGAAGGATGGGCGAACAAGCAAGCATTTAGGTGCTCGAACTCGCCCCCCAAAAACCTGAACGACCATAGTCAACTCTCGCCATTCAAGTGCGCAGTCCAACAGGACAAATGCCAAGCCCCCAATGAAAATAAAGGCAGTCTGCCAGCCAGGAAAACTCCAGCACCTTGTAATGCACCCAATAAGGAAAAGAGGAGCCAAACTCAAAAGAAGGCTTCATTATCAAGGCGTAATCCGGGTCTCGCAGGAGGTAAGCCGCAAGAGCCTCCCACATCTTCCTCGGTGGGATGCGGGAAGCCAAAAACATCCAGGAGGAGGGAACCGAGGAAACCAAGGAAACTCGGAACCGAACCCGGGGGAGAAGTCAAACCCATAACAAAATCGTACAGGGAGGGAATAGGAAAACCTTTCCCCCTGTAACAACAAGCCCTGCGCCGAAGGTACCAAACACCCAAGCAGGATGTTTGGTACCTTCGCAGCCGATCCGGAAGGGGCAATTCCCAAAGCCGCCCAAGTCTCACTACCAGAATAATTCAGCAGGGCAGCTGCGGGGCATCTGGAAAGGCAACCAACCTCGAACGTTCCTCACATGCAATGCTAAAGCTGCCTGCACCCAAATATCGGTCTCAGTGGACTGGGTGAATGGAGTACAAGCAAAGAACACCAATCGCAGGACTCGGGTCAGAGGTGTCATTGACCCCAAAAGGCAGCAAGGCGGAAGCAGATGGTGAGTGTCACCCTGA